TGCGTGGCAGCCGCTGCCCCTGTCCCTGCCTGATTCCCCAGGGCATGTGCTGGTGCCCTGCTTGATGTCAGTGTTCAGAGTACCTAAGCCTTCTTTGTTTTCTACTCACTCGATGGGCGAGGGTTCGAGCATCAGTCTATGCGGTTGGACTTCATCCATGAAGCCCCCAGAAGCTTCACTGTGCCCTGTCATGAATGATTTCATGTGTAACTCCCAAACAGGACTACAGACAGGTCCTCCTTAGGGAATGACCTTCAGTCCCATTCCATAGGAAGGAAGGGAAGAAGTATATAGTGCCTACTATATGCCAGGCACTGTGCTAAGTGCTTTATAAATATTACCTCATTTGTCCTCACACAACCTTGGGAGGTATATGTGCTGTTGTTATCATCTCCATTTTACAGATCAGGAAACTGAGGCAATCCGAGGTTAAGTGACGTGCCCAGGGTCACACAGCTAGGTCTTCCTAGCTCCACCCGCTGTGCCATCTTGCTGCGTATGACTATGCCAGAGTCCAGTTTTTAGGTAGGTGCCCACCCAACCCTCTGCCTCTAGGGGCCCTGGTTATCTCTGGCACTTTGGATACATGGTACCATCTGAGTGGCTGGGTGGGATGGGCATAGAAAACCAGTCTTCCCTGGTGTACGCTGGGTCATCCCTGGCCTGGCCTTAATGATTTAAGGGCACCTCAGGATAAGCAGTGCCTGGCACACAGTAAGCACTTAATAAATGCTCATTGGCTTCTTGTTGTGGACAGGCCGCCACGGATGGGTGGAGATCAGCACCATTGAAGGGAATGCCTACAACCCTGACATCCCATTTTTGTACTTTTTTTTTTTTTGCTTTTTTGGTGAGGTGATTGGGGTTGAGTGACTTGCCCAGGGTCACACAGCTAGTAAGTGTTAAGTGTCGGAGGCTGGATTTGAACTCAGGTCCTCCTGACTCCAAGGACAGAGCTCTATTCACTGCGCCACCCAGCTGCCCCTCCATTTTTGTACTTATTAAAACTTGTACTTGGGGGATGATTTCAAAATCTCCTCCTGAAAGAGCTGAAGGAGCAGGAGTTGGGAGAAGTCCCAGGTGAGCTGCTCCTACACTCACAAATTTAGAGCTGGAAGAGAACCCAAAGGGTGTCTAGTCCAAGTCTGTTTTACAGATGAAGAAACGAGGTCCAGGCACTTACCCAAGGTCATACAGGTAGTAAGCAAGATTCGAATTCAGGGCCTCTGACTCAATCTAACACTTCCCACTCTATCTCCATCATTCTACAGCTGGTAGGGACCCCAGAGACGACTTAATCCAACCTCCCTCTTGTATAGATGAGGAAACAGTAGCATTTATTAAGCACCTACTATGTGCAGGGCAGCCAGGTGGTGCAGTGGATAGAGCTCTGGGCCTGGAGTCAGGAAGACCTGAGTTCAAATCCAACCTCAGACCCTTATTAGCTGTCAAGGCACTCCACGCTGCTTGCCTCAGTTTCCTCACCTGTAAAAATGAGCTGGAGAAGGAAATGGCAAACCCCTCCAGTGTCTCTGCCAAGAAGACCCCAAAATGGGGTCACAAAGAGTGGGTTGTGACTGAACAAAAACAGAGCGGGCAGGCCGAGTGAACCGAAAGTTCAGTGACTTGCCCAGGGTCACCTGGTAAGGACAATGATTCAGAACCAGGGCCCGGACTTCTGAATCCAGCCCTCCTTTCCTCCTGGCATAGTCATGTGGCAGGGGAAGCCCAGAGACGGGGGAAGGCCAGTGTTCACCAACCCTGGTCTAGCCAGCAGCCCTCCACCAAGGATGCTCCCCACCCCCACCCCCAAGCCCCCAAGGATATTTCCTCCCCACAAGAAAATGGAAGCAGTTAAGGCTCAGCCACGCTGTCTAAAGAAGGAAGAAAATTTCCAGCTTTGTGTTCGAATTCTCCTCTCCTTTAAAAGGAAAAAAAAAAGGTCCATTGAGAAACGTCCCAGGCAGGGAAATGCTAATGTTCTGAGTGTGCAGAGAAGCTGGGGAGAGGGGCTGTTTCTGAGGCCCGACAGCTCGGCTGGGGCCTGCCAAGCAGCTGAGTCCATGAGAAAGCCCCAGCAAGGGAGAGCAAGCTGATTCATTGGGGCCGGTTAAGGCAGGACATCATTTGTTGATTCTCCGGCCCAATCCCCATCTCATGACTTCCTCTCTGGTTACCATGGTGGCATCCATAAAACAGAACACAACTCTGGCCCCCTCGGCAGGTCATTTATTTCAAATATTCCCTGCAGCTCGAATCCAACCATGTTTGGGTGTCTGGGCCCGAGCGGGGCCTAATTGCTCTGTCTTCGGACCCCTCCCCAGCATAGTTTATGGTTCAGCCTAGGCCACATTCCACCTCTCGAGAAAGACAGAGGAAGGGAAGGGCGAGCGAGGGAAAGCAGGCCATGTGCACGAGCAAGATGGACCAGAGACGGGAACGTTTCCCATCTATGGCCAGGCCGAGGGGCCGCTATCTGCATCAGGGCAGCGGAGAAGGAGGAGGAGGAGGAGGCAGCCTGGTGGTGCTCAGCAGGATTCATTCCAGCCATGCGTGCCAAGTCTGCTCAGATGGTTTTATGAACACAGCTCCTTTCAAACACAGAGACCTGCTATGCGAGAAGCCTCCCAGCTGAACAAAAAGTCTTATTTTCCTTTATGCCAGCACCCCCCCAACCTCCTGCTCTACCCCGCCCCACCCCCTCCCTTCCTTCTCCTTTAAAAATGAGCTCCTGTTCTACGGCAACCCAGACATGAACTCCAACCTAAAAATAATTCGAGACCACCCTTTTCCCCACTCCCTCCCCCGAAATGTCTGGAACAGGCAATATTTGAATTTTCGGCCTCACAGGCAGAGCTCTGCCCCCCTTCCTCCAACTCCCTGAAGAATAAACTGTTTGGGGGTATGGAGCCTTCTGCACTCAGGAGCAGCCAACATCAATTCAACAAACGTTTATTAAGCTCCTACTATGTGCCTGACACCGTACTGGGCACTGGGGATGCAAAATTAAAAAAAAAAGTCCCAGATTTCAAGGAATTGACAGTCTATGGAGGGGATCCCAACATGTACACAGGGAAACACAAAAAAGATGCTAATTTCTGGAGAAGGGAGGAAATGTTAAGTGCCTCCTATGTACCAGAGACTGTGCTAAGCACTTTACAAAAGCTATATTTGATCCTCACAAGCCTGTGAAGTAGGTGCTGTTATTATCCCCACTTTATAGTTGAGGAAACTGAGGCAGAGAAAAGTGACTTGTTCAGGGTCACACAGCTAGTCAATGTCCAAGGCTGGATTTGAATTCAGATCTTCCTGACTCCAGGCTTATTACTCTGTCTGTTGTGCCAGCCTAGCTGTCCCCACCTTTCATTCATTCAGTATGTGTGTATATGCCATTTTACAGTCAGAGAAATTGAAACAGACAGAGGTTAAGTGACTTGCCCAAGGTCACACAGCCCGTCAGTGACTGAGGCTACATCCGAACTCAGGTCTTCCTGACTGAAGGCCCAGATACATCAAAACAGCTCAGGGGAGCAGGAAAGGGCCTGTGTAGAAGGCAGCCCATGAGCTGTGCTTTGGGCAGGAAGGTGGGTGAACATGCCAAGGTAAGGGAACTGCATTGTGCAAAGGCTGGAGGTGAGAAAGGATGTCTCAGCACGTACAAGCAGCCCCGTTGGGCTGAGACTGTCTGGCTCGAGCACCAATGAGTGCAGGAAAGGGAGGGACAGAAGGCAGGCTGAGATAGGTGATAACAGCTCTTTCGGCAGAACGGTCTACAGTGTGCTGAGTGCACGTGGACTCTGGGTGGGTGGGTGGCAGTCACACTGTAGGAGGCTTTCAAGGCAGAACCCGGAAAGTCACCTCCTATCCTAGGGGCACTACAGATGCCCCTAGAGAGGACTTTTTAAAATAAGGGAGTGACGTGATCAGATGTTGGAGGAAAATCACTTTGGCAGCAGAGTACTGGAAGGACAGGAGTGGGGCAAGGAGACCGATTCACAGCCTCTTCCCTTTACCTGCCTCATCCTCCGAGGGGCTCACCTCTCCATTGTCCCAAAGGTCACGGGAAGCCCCCTCTCCCAGCCCCAAGACCCAAAGAGAAACTATCCAAGTGAATTCAAATTTAACAAACTTTGTTTTATTATTAGGTTACTGAGTATTTTCTACAGCCATAAAATAGAAAGGAGTTTTAAAACCAAACAAAGCAATTATGTACTGGGACGGCAATACAGAGGGAGGGGGCTGAACCTGAAACAAGAGGAGAGGTGGGAGATTGGGGGGGTGGTGACACTGCAACATTTCCAGTGTCGGTGGAAGACAACCGGGGCCAGGCATCCATTGATGGACTCTGCGTGGTGAATTCTCTCTCGAGTGTGTGTCCCACCCTGTAACAGAAAGGAGCAAGAGACCTATCATCTGACGGGGGTGTGTGTGTGTGTGTGTGTGTGTGTGTGTGTTTCTCTTCCTTAAAAAAATAACAGCAACAAATAGTAACGGTTTGGGGGGAGGCAATGTTGGCTCCCCACGTGGGCTTGGCACCAACTCTATGCTTTTTAAAAATATACTCTCCAAGTAGAATTTTTTTTTTAAAAAAAGGTTATCCAACAGCAGCTGCTCGAAACATCTCTTACATAGACAAATATATATATATATTAAACATTTTAAACAAATAAAGTCATCTATTGTACCTGTACAGAACTGAATCAAAAGTTGGATTCCAAAACTGATTTCAAAGTTAACAAAATGTGCAAAATAAAGGGGTGGGGGTGGGTGGGTGGGGCGCCGCATCTCAGCCTGCACCGTGGAGGAGTTGCCAGGAAGAAGTGACTGGGGGAGACACATTTGAACTGGGGACCTGCCTAGATGTTGGGTCTGCTCTCAGGACCAACATTCCAGATTCTCCATTCTGGCTTGGGGGGATGTTGGTAAAGAACCTAACTACTGCCTGCATATCTCTCCTCCCTCTCTCTCTCTCTCTCTCTCTCTCTCCTCTCTCTCTCTCTCTCTCTCTCTCTCTCTCTCTCTCTCTCTCTCTCTCTCTCTCTCTCGCTCTCTCTCTCTCTCTCTCCCTCCTCCTCAATGGACAAAGTACCAAAAACGTACATTTTCTCAGATTACCAAAGCTGGGGAGGATGGCGATGGCAGCCTACCTGAGACATTTGAACAACCGAAGGACAAAAAAAAAACCCTATCACAACAGCATGTCTAACTATCCTGGGCAAGGATGTCTGGCCAAGAGGTAAGAGGCAATGAAGGAGGGTGGCAGGCTGTTAGAGCTGCTTCAGGGGACCGCTGAAGGCATCACTATTGCACGTGAAACCTGTAGCCTGAAGAAGGAGCTGTCCTGGCAAGCTTCTCACCCAACCCGAACCTCCCCTTGGAGCTACAGGCCAAGATAACAAAAACCACCCACCAAAGAAGCCTTCATACCCATAACTACACCACTTGGCCAAGGGCAGGTGATGCAGCACACGGAGGGTGGGAAGGATGGGAGAGCAACAAGACACACATTGGTGAGAAAGGGATATGTTTTCTTTCTATATGGAATAAATAAATCGATTTTTGTTGGTGAAAGAATAAATACAGAGTACAGGGTGAGACAACATCTTAGGGAATGACACTAGTTGCTTTCCGGCCTTTTTCCAGGGTCCCATTTTCTTTTTTTCCTTTATTTTTCTTAAGTGTCCAGAATGAGTTTTTGGCATTGTCAGCTTTGTTAATGGCGGCATTTTCTGTGTAGGAGTAACCCACGAGGTTCCACGCTTGCCACCCAAGGGAAGTCATCGGTCAATTTCCAAGCACCCTCGATGCTTCCGGCCTCCTCACTGCCAGTATGGCTACTTTTCCCCAACTGGCCATCATCGAGCCCTGGAATCCTCCGGAGATGACGTCTTGTCCTGTTTGGGCAGAAGCTGTGGGCTCCGTACTCCCACCCCTGGAGTCGACCAGGACATACCTCATTACTTCTGTGGAAACAAAGTCCCTCTTTTTTAAGACAGGAAAATAAAATCCAGATATACAAAGGGCACTCGTCTGCCCACACTCCAAGAGGCCATTTCCAAGTGAGGAAGACTAGATGAGCCTGCTTTTAGGGTCTGTCTTTATCTGGAGGAAGACTGGAGTGTAAGAAAGGATGAGGAAATCTTGGCTCGTGAGGTTGGAACAGCCAGATGAAGGAAGAGGGGAGTCTGATAGGGCACAGGTAGGGTGAAGGGGGAGCTGTGGACCCCAGTGGCGGCTCAGTGGGTTTGCACAGTTGGATTTCCTGATTCCTGCTCCCAAATGGTGGCAGGCGTTGAGCTGGCACATTACTGGTAGAGCAGGTAGCCCTTGAGGGATGCTGGCAGGGGCAGGGCATGGATCTCACTCAGGCGCTCCTTCCCTAGGGCGAGGCGGACGGACCTACGGCAGAGGTCCATCAGAGGCAGTGGCTCAGCTGTGGGTCGGAGGGGAGAGAGAGAGAGAATGAATATGAATACATACATACACCTGGTGACTAATTGTGATGCCCACATTCCTGACTGGCTCTCCAATTCCAAGAGTCGACATCTTAAGACAGGCTAAGCTACAGAGAGACTGGCTCCCTAAAAAGTACTTCTGGCAGACACTGGCATTCAGGCTGGAGGAGGATGCCAGCCAGAGTAGAAGGAGCTGCCCTGCCAGGGAGGCACCAGGCTCTTCCCTCACCCTGGTGCTGGACGGCCACTTGTCAAGGGAATTCCAAGTGCAGGTCGGCAGAGACCAGGTGCTCTGGAGCATCTGGTGAGGTCTATGGACCCCTTTCTCAGAGGCATGTTTTAAAATACTTAAATTATAAAGGAAACCAGTTATATTTTTCCCTCCTCAAATTCAGGCTCTCTCTTGAGATCTACCCACAGGCCAAGTCTCAGAATGTGTGTGGACCTCTGTTATGAACTGCTGGTCTCGATAAACTCCAAGGTCTCTTCTAACTATGAGATTCTAGCTCAGAACACAACCTTTCTGAATGAGAAGAGGAGTTAGGTTAGGATGGACCCTGAGGTTCCTGTCCCTCTTGTAACCCAACGACCTCGAATAAAAAGGAGCTGTACCTAGGTGCCATAGTGGGTAGAGGGAATAAGCACTTATTAAGTGCCTACTGTGTGTCTGGCAGTGTGCTAAGTACTTCACAAATATTATCTCTTTGGATCTTCACAACAATCTTAAGAGGTAGGTGCTGTTATTATCTCCCATTTTATAGGTGAGGAAACTGAGGCAAATAGAGGTTAACTGATTTTGCCCAGGGTCTCACAGCTGAGGCAGCTAGGTGGCACAGTGGATAGAGCTCCGGCCTTGAAGTCAGGAGGACCTGAGTTCAAATCTGGCCTCAGACACATAACACTTACTAGCTGTATGACCTTGGCCAAGTCACTTAACCCCATTGCCTAGCCCCCTCCCAAAAAAAAGTAGAAACCAGGGCCTCACAGCTAGTAAGTGTCTGAGGAGGAATTTGAACTCAGATCTTCCTGACTCCAGACCTGGCTCTGTCCACTGCACCACCTAGCTGCCCATAGAGCACCAGACTTGGAATCAGGAAGAACTGGAGTTGAAATCCTACCTCTTACACTTAACTGCTGTGTGACCCTGGGTAAGTCATCTTATCTGCGTCTGCCTCATTCATAAAACAGCGATGCCAACAATACGTCAGAAGTCTAGAAAGCATTTTGCAAACCTTAAAGCAATACCAGTCTTATCATACATGCCAGAGATGGTACCAGGCGGGATGGGAGCATCCCGTCGAAAGGTCCCAAATGCAACCCAACAAGTATTGGCCTCTACCTTCCCTCTGGGCACACCCATAGATTCTCTGAGCCCTTTTCTCAAGGGCTACTGCGATACACAAACAGGGCATGTAGGTCCTGGAGAGGCCACGCAGCTGAACAATGGGGGGAGGCCGCAAAGAGACCCACTGAGGCTTGATGTTAACGCTTAGAAACACTTCCTAAGATTAGAAGGGGCCACACTGGGAGGAAGGCAGTTGCTTAAGGCTGGAGGACCACTTTAACCAATCAATCCCACTTATTAAGTGCCTGTTCTGTGCTTGGCATTGTGCCAAGCGCTATCCCTTTGTTGGGGACACTGCAGGAGGAATTTTTTTTTTTAAGGCAGTTGGGGTTAAGTGACTTGCCCAGGGCCACACACCTAGTAAGTGTCAAGTGTTTGGTCTGAGAGTGGATTTCAACTCAGGTCCTCCTGACTTCAGGGCTGGTGCTCTATCCACTGTGCCCCCTAGCTGCCCCAGGAAGAATTTTTTTTGGGGGGAGGGCCAGGGTGGATACAGATGCCAACTGAGATCTGTCCCTTCTCAGGATCTGTGGTTTTATATCTGATTGGCCAAACCAAATGAAATCTCAACTTCAGATCTGACCATCCTTTCAGGGCACCTCAATCAGCAAACATTTATTAAACACCAACTGTGTCTGTGCCACGCACTGTGTTAGGTGCCGGGGGTACGAAGAGAGAAATGACACGTTTCCTGTCCTCAGAGGGTTTAGAGTCTGTTGCCGCCTCCCTCTTTCCCTGGGAGGTTCGTGGACGATCACCAGGAGTCTGTCCAGCCCAGGAGGCCTGAGGCCAGCACAGAAGCCCCGAGGACCTCAGACAACCTGCTCTAGCAGGGCCTGGCTCGGCTCCTCGTGCCCGCGGGGTCATCTTGCTCTGGGTCACTGACACGCAGACGCTGTTCTCCTACTTCCATCTCAGCACACGGTCACCCCAAAGGATTTCGCCAATCCCCATGGGGTGTGTTGTTGTTGGGGGGCAGGGTGGGGACACCCAGCTGGTGTTCCTGAAGCTAGCTCTCGCTAACATGGGGTGGGCTGACTCTCCTATCAAGGAACACCCTGTCCCGAATCCTCCCAGTAGCCAAATCCACAGATGTTTCCTTTCCAACTGGCGAGGTGGCCAGGGGCGGGAGGGAGCAGGGAATGAGAGTACATTTGGGGAAGAACAGAGGAAGCCTGCCTGAATGAGTCCACGGCTGCCTGCATTGAGGGCAGAAAGGAGCTCTGGAGATCATGCTGGACTGTGGGTCAGAGGACCTGGGTTCAAATCCTACCTTGTACCTGTATGACCTTAAGGGAAGTACGGTTCAGTGAAAGGAACACTTGGTTTTAGATTCAGGAGGGAGTGTGTGTGCATGTGCGTGTCTATCTGTACAATAGGGCTAACAACGACATCTACCTCCCAGGGTTGTTGGGAGGCTCCAATGAGATGTTAACTGCACAAAGCTTCCCACGGTGCCCGGCACATAGCAAGCACCACACAGATGTTAGCTAGTGTTATTATGGTGGCTATCCTGAGGCTCCTTCCAGCTCTACATCAGGGTTCTTCATACTTTTTTTTGGGGGGGGGTTTAAAGTGACTTGCCCAGAGTCACACAGCTGGTAAGTGTCAAATGCTTGATCTGAAGCCGGATTTGAACTCAGGTCCTCCTGACTCCAGGGCCGGTGCTCCGTCTACTGTGCCACCCAGCTGCCCCAGGGTCCTTCGTTCTTGAAGAGGACCAATGACATCACAAGGGTGACGTCTTGACTTTAGCACGGACTGGAAACACTCTCTTTATACTCAGGGTCTTAAGGACTGAAAGAATGGACAATCGCAGAATTTCAGTTGCGAGTACCTCAAAGGCAACCTCATCCAAGAAAAAATTCCCTGTGCAACAAAGTAGATAAATGGTCTATCAATCCACAAGCATTCATTAAGTGCCTACTGTGTGCCAGGCACTAGGGGTACCCAGAAGGCAAAAGGCAAGTCTTGCCTGCTTGAACTCACAGTCTAAAATACAAAAAGTCAGCAAGCATTTATTAAGTGCCAAGTTATACATGCAGAGGCAAGGCAGGGGTGGTCTGTTTCATTGGTGTATCCCCGATGCCTTTCACATTTAATAAATGTTTGGTGGTCTGGACCGAATGGCCTTAACCAAGCTGCTGGGTCCCAGTTTGCTCATCTGTCAAACGAGGAGTCTGGATGGACCTTCAAAGCTCCCTTCAGCTCTGATGAAAGGAAAGTGGGTGCTTTACCCCCCCAAAATCTCGAGTGCTCTATAAATGCTGGATGCCCTTCATTCCGGGCCATTCAATGGGGACAAAGACCACGAGAACGGGAATCTTTTTGCTCGTGGAAAAAGGAGCCTTTGCTATGAGTTCACATATTAAAGCGTCAAAACCAGAATCTAACAGGAGGAATGAATCCACATTCATGGGATGGTGCCTGGGAGCCTGAAGTCACGACGTGGCCAGGTATCTCTTACCTCTTCCAATGCCCCCACACTTACCAAAGCCGGTGAGGCCACAGTGTGGCTTGTCTCAGGCTTCACCATCCACAGGATACGACTGAACAAGCCAGGCGTAGTGTCGTGGAGGAGGTTAAAAACTCTCTGTGTTTCCCCAGTGCTATCTTGCTGAATCTCAAGGGTGGGAAGGGATATGGGAAACCTAACAGCCAAAATCCTAACAAGAATCCACTCTGTAACACATCCAAGTGGTTGTCCAGGCTTCGACACCTCCAGTGATGGGGAACTCACTACCTCTCATGGCTGCCCCCTCTGCCTATGAACAATTCTCATGGGAAGGAAGTTTTCCCTTAGATCCAACTTCGATTTGCCTCTTTTCAACTTCTACCCACTGCTCCTAATTCGGGGGCAGGGAGAGGTATGTGAAAGGGGGTAGGGTGGGAGAAGGGAAAAACTACTGTGTGCCAGGCACTGTGCCAATGGGAAGGGAGCAAGCATTGGTTAGGTGCCTACTAGGCGTCACGCACTGTGCTAAGCGCTTCACAAACATCTCATTTGATAATAAATCAAATAGTAAGTAATGATACCTCTTCCAATCCCTCTTCCACACGCCTTCCAAACTGGAAGACAATTGATACGTCCTGAGCCTTTGAGTCTGAGAGTCCTGAGCCCCTGAGACCTTCCTGGGACGTCTGCTAAAAGTCTTTTTGTCTCTCGTGCTTGTACGCGTTGTTTGCATGTCGTCTTCCCTAGACTTGGGAGCTGCTTGAGAGAAGGAACCGTTTCCCATTGCTTAGTCTGGTGCCTGGCATACAGCAGGTGCCTGCTGACTTGTGGCTCACTTACCCACTGCCAACACACGTGGTCTCTCTGTTCACTTCCCTGTCTCAGGGACTGATGGAAGATGCCCAGAGTAAGTCAACCCAAGATCATTCTAACCAAGAGCCTCTGAGACCGAAAGAAAGCATCCTCCAGTGATTCCACCCAAAAGATTCCCTTCCGAGAACACCTATTCTCTTGTGACCGCTCTAATTTGGGAGAAACTTTTTGGGACATGAAGCCCAAATCTGCCTCCTTACAACCTGCTGGGGCCAAAAGAAATCAGGACCAACATATCTTCTCTTCTACAGAACAGGCCTTCAAATACTTGAAGGCGGCTGTCATCGCCCACCTCTTCCCTCCTC